GCTTTGTCAAGCTAGTGAAATATTTTCATCATTGAAGTGGTCATTGATTTTTTAATATGGCAATTAATGATTTTGAAGTGGTTACTGAAATTGTTAATTTTCAACTGATAATTGAAAGTGCTTTGTATGATAGATACTAGAGACATTGCAGAGAACAAAGATACATTTGGGTATCTGTTATGGTCCTGACCACTGATTGACTCTTTTTAAAAGACGTGAAAAATAGGGAAGCCTGGGTGTCTCAGTCAGTTAAGCATCTGCCTTCGGCTCAGGTCATGATCCCAGGGTCCTGGGATAGAGTCCTGCATTGGGTTCCCTACTCAGTGGGGAATCTGCTTTGTTCTCTCTCTCTCTGTCTCTCTGACAAATAAAGTCTTACCAAAAAAAGATGTGAAAAATATTCTGTGACAGAGCATTCTGAATGTGGAAACAGTACTTCCTATGTAATGAACAGGAGGAAAATAAAAGTACATTTCCTATGCTAAATATTTGCCAGTCCAGAAAAATATCTTGATAATTGAAGTAGTAATTGATTTTGAAGTGTTAATTGAAATTGATCATTTTCAATTGGTAATTGAAAATGCTCTGTACACTAGATACTAGGGGCATTGTGGAGAATAAAGATACATTTGGGCATGCTCTGTGCCAGGGAAGGACATCTGTGAGGTAAGTAATCTATTGTCACAATGTGTTCAAATCAAGAATTTAAAGAAAATGAGGTTGTCCTCATAGAATGAGGCTTGCGTCTGGGCCCTACCATGGACTCCAGAGTCCACATATCTCCATTTTCTTTATCTCATACCCCAAATCAGGCGCTAGAGACAGAGGTGCTATCCAGCATTTTAAAATCTGATGTCCCACATCTGTGAACCATCTAGGCTTGATTGATTGATTGATTGATTTTGTGGAGGGGGAGATGGAGGAGGTGGTGTAAAAACCCAAGTTCTCTGGAGCGTTCAGAAAAGAAAAAGCATTACTTGCACCATAACCATATGTACAACTGCTTTGGTGAAAGGAGATCTACTTGAAGTGGCCAGGAAGACCCTCTACCATAAAAAAAGTAGAGTCCTAGCCAAGAACTCAGAGTACCTGAATTGCAGTCTGCTTAAATAATGTGATCTAGGTTTCACTCTACATGACTCTAGATTGGATTGGATGTGGGCTGTGAGGGAAAAGAAAGGCCAAAGATGACACCTAGGTTTTGGGCTTGTGCAACTGGGTGAATAGATGTGCTATTTATATGACATGGCATTATTCATCGAAGGAGTGATTGGTATGGGGAGCTGGAAGTCAAGATTGCATTTTGGGCTTGTTAGTCTCCATGCAAATTGAAATGGTAAATAAGCAGTTGGAAATGTAAATCAAACTCTTCTGAAGGGTTGGAGCTATAGATACATGCTGTTTGTGACCATGTGCTTTGAGGAAAGCACCCAGGTGGTGAATGTGTGCATTAAGAGGTCCGAGGCCCCCATCCAGTACTTACAAATGTTAACCTCTCCAGTTTCATAATGGAAATTAAAAGAAAATCCATTTGCCTTATTAGAATTTATTTTTAAACATTTTGAAAAGCAGTACATTATTAAATCTAACCAACGGGATTGGCTGGAGGAGGTTGGTGTGGTTATAAAAGAGCAACATATGGTGTTAAAAGTCTGCAGTGTTTTGGGGTACCTGGGTGGCTCAGTCGGTTGGGCATCCCACTCTTGGATTAGGCTTGGGTCATGGTCTTGTGGCCCCATGTCAGGCTCTGTGCTCAGTGGGGAGTCTGACTGAGGATTCTCTCCCTCTGTCCCTCCCCTCACACATGCTCACGTGTGTGTGCACATGCACGCACTCTCAAATCTTAAAAAATATTCTTCAGTGTTTTGACTGTAGTGGTGAATATATGAATTTAGATAAATTAGATAAATAATAGATTAATACAAATGGTAAGCATAAAACTGAGAAACTCTGGATAAGATGGATGATTATATCAAAGTCAGTATCCTGGTTGTGATATAATAGTACAGTTTTGTAAGATGCTTCCATTGGAGGAAACTAGGCATGTATAATGGGTGTATCTATTTCTTATAACTGCATGTGAAACTAATTTCAATTGAGAAGTCAACTTTTAAGAAAACATAATTATATAAGCTTTCAATTTAAAAAAAGTAACAAACACTCAAGAAAACAAGGGGTGCCTGGGTGGCATAATTGGTTAAGTATCCACCCTTGGTTTCAGCTTAGGTCATGACCTCAGGGTCATGAGATTGAGCCCCAATCTGGCTCTGTGCTCAGCAGAGTCTGCATGAGATTCTCTCTCCCTCTTCTTCTCCCCCTCCTGCTTGTGAACACATGCTCTCTCTCTAAAATAATAAATCTCTAACAAAACCCCCAAAACATGGGACATTAACATTCTTACATGTAAAAAAAAAAAAAAGTTAACCAACTGATTTACCTCCTTCAATTCTATCTAGCGTTACATTACACAAGGATATAAAAAAAATTGTTTTTATTAGCTTTTTTTTTTTACGTTTGGAAGTATGCAATTCTAGTTTCACAAAATGATACCAGCAATCACCAAAGTTAGTAAAAATCTCTGAAAATTTAATTAAGAGAAGGCTATTCAAATGTTACTTGGTACAGCAATGTTCTGCTTTTCTCTGCCTACATTTTTTCAGAGAAATGCAGTTAGGGTATTAATATTTTTCAGAAGTAGTAGAAAATGTCTCTTACAAAGAAAATACTTGCAAAATCCAGAAGTGAGTCAAATAACTTCACTTAAAATTAAGAGCTGTTAATATGAAGATATAATATTTGAAGATGTTAGTGTTTTGTGAAGTTTGAAGAACTATGACCTTCTGTTTTCAGATGTTAAGTACTATTTCTTAGTGGAATCAGAACTCCTTACAGGCATGTAACCATTTTAATTTTTCTATGGAAAGATATTTATCAGCATTTAAGCAAAGATGAGATCATTTACACATTTAGTGTAAATGAAGTATTGTAGTTACAGGTTCTTACACATAATTTTTGCTTTTAGGACTTTGATTTCAGTCACCTGGAACAGATATGGCACACATTCTTTAACAATTTTGTTTTTAATGTAAATCATTTTGACTTTGAACACAGTAAAGAGAAACTTTGTTTCTTTGACTTTGCGTCCTATTAATTAACTTGTGTTTGTTCTTGAGATGACATAGAAAATTATTTACCGGTGATTTAGTTTAAGAAAATTTTGGCTAAGGGCACCTGGGTGGCTCAGTCGGTTAAGTGTCTGTCTTCTGCTCAGGTCATTATCCCAGTGTCCTGGGATAATGGGATTGAGCCCTGTGTTGGGCTCCCTGCTCAGCAGGAAGCCTGCTTCTCCTTCTCTCTCTGTGCCTCCCCCTGCTCATGCATGCACGCTCTCGCTCTCTCAAATAAATGAATAAAATCTTAAAAATCTTGGCTGGTTTTAAACTTGATTTTAACTGCATTTGATTTTTTTTAATCAACCTGGAAACATTTTTTTTTTTTTTAGGAAGGTAACCCCAGATCTGTTTTTCTAATGAATAAATATCAGACTTCCTATGTCCCTCTAATCTGTTGTTTGTGCTGGAGACAAAGTGATCTTTCCAAAATCCTGTTTAAAATCTCTCAAAGAATTCCCGTTGTTGTAGGAACCAACTCTAGATGCCCTGTTGTGGCTGTGAAGAGTAGTTTATGAAGTAGCTGGCCTCTCTCTAGCCCCATCTCCCATGTACTTTCCCCCACCCCCCAATATCTATCATTTCTACAAGTAGTCATCTCACCTCCAAACTCCTGGTGCTCTTTTACTAGAACATCTTCCCCATTTCTTGACTCTTTATATATGTCCTGACACCACCATCCTGTCAACCTGCATTGCCTCTACTCATCTTTTTCAGGCATTTTTTTTTTTAAGGCTGCTTTAAAGAATGCAATCTGGTCAGTTTGAAGTTCTTCAGGAAATAGAAAAGTTAATCTGTATTCTCCTGGGTGGTTTAATATTGTACTCAATACTAATCCAGTCTTCAGATGCACCTTTATTATACTACAGTTGTATTGTGTGGCCCGGGTTTCTTTATGATGGAAGTAACAAAGGGAAAGGAATTAAAGTCAAGAGAAACATTTGTAGTCCACCCAGTGCATCCCACACTGTGCATGGCTCATAGGACCTCCTCAATATAGCAGTTTTTATAATGAACTAATAAAGGAAATTGATTATCAATAATTGGGGGGAAGGGAATCATAAAGAAAAGTTAAAAGAAATTATATTAAGAAAGATGATTTCACTGGATAAGTGAAAGTAATTTTCCATGTAAATATCTTTAAAAATGATGATAGCATGCTTCTCTTGCTTTCAATCAAATTTAGCAGAAGAGAATGGAATTCTAATGTGGTGCCAATCTGTAAGAGAGTGGAAGGGTTTCTTGGCAGCATGAGGCTGTTGATACTAGAGTGAGGAGAATATGAAGATTTAAATGGTAGGAAGTTCTATCAGTTAATCAAATGGTACTTTTATAGTTTAGCACTAATACACAAACTTGTTATAAAAATAAAGGGAATATTTTTTGAAAGGAAAAAGAAGTAAAACATTATTCAGAATCTCACCACTGTGGAAATTTGAAAGAACAAAACAAGATATTTATCTATCTGGAACTACTTAGGGCTGACCTTTACAAAGACAGAAGGATGGACGGAATAAGCGTAAAGACAATTTAATGTAATTTCAAGGAAACAAGGACTTCCTGGTTTTAGAGTTGTTGCAGACAGGTTGGACAAGGAATTATTATAATTAGATTTTTGATAAACTGAGCTACTACGCTTAGCAATTTAATAACTTTTTTTGTGAACAAAACCAAAATGAAAAGTGCCCAAGAAATTTAATTGGACTGCCATTCTGTGTTGTCAATAGGTAGCTGAGAGAATTTATTAAAAACAAAAATTGAGTCCTTAAGTCTTTAATCTGTAGGTCACTGTCATTAGGTAATCACGTATGTGTAATTTCTATTTTAAAGCTGGATAATGCAGATGAACAAGCAGCCCAGATCAGAAGGGAACTTGATGGTCGTTTGCAGTTGGCAGAGAAAATGGCAAAGGTAAATTATTAACTTTGACATAGTGTACAACATTTCTTTTTACTCCTATTTCTGCGAGCTGAAAAAGTTCTGTATAGATAGTATAATTTTATCATTTTCTTCTCTTTGTGCATGCTTCTTAAGCCCAAATATCTGAGTGCATATTATCTAAATGGAGCATATTATCTATTTTACATATCCTTCCTTACACATAGAACATGTTTAAACTCAATAACTTTTGTAGATTATTCTGAAAGCAATGCCTGAATTTCTCAAATGGCCACATTTAGAAGAATTTTAATATTGTGCTAAATAAAACCTAATTAGGGAGTAAAACATTGTCTCTGCAAAATCACGTATTCCAAGATACCCAACATGGTGCTTGGCACATAGTGGAGTCAACTAATATTTGAATGGATGAAAAATCTAACTGGAAGTTTCTAGTAAGACTCCCACAGATAGTGTTCAATATAATTTATTCATATAGTCACTGTGTTTCTATGTAATAGGAATAAGTTTTAAACAAAATCATTAATTTCTTCTTAATGCTTAATATTTTTTAGAGCACATGGAACTTCATTATTTGCATCATTCTTTAGTAAATTGATGCATAAATTAGTGGTAAAAGAAAATTGGCTTTCCCAATAGACTTGAAGTTATAGTGCTGTTAATCTGAGGTATGATTTTTTTTCCCTCTTTTCCCTTCTGCTAATCAAAACTTTGAATATTTGGAGGTACACTCTTCCTTTACCTCCCTCCATCTTTCTGAAGAATCCTCCCTATTGAGGGAATTTTCTTCATTTCTTTAAATTTTAGGTATAATGTGTAAAGTATACAAATACTTAGTTTACAGCTCAGTGAATGTATGTGTACATGGCCCATGTTAACCACCTCCCAAATCATGATAGTGAACTTTTCCAGCCTTTGAGAAGAAGATACAGCCCATGCTGATTTTAACAATTGAAATATTTTTGTTTTTGCAAAGAAAAATGCATTTATGAATGATGTGTAAGTTTTCAGAATGCTAATACTGTGTTATCTAAAAGTATATTAAAAAGTAGGGAAATTGTTGAGAAATTGGAGATAAACAGGAAAGTTGAGAAAATTAAGAGAAATTTGGGTAGCAGAGATGACAGTAAGTTGTGAGAACCAAGCCAGAGATAGATGAAGAGGAATTTCCAGATGAATGAAGACATAGAGTGCTATGAATTAGGGGCTAAAGAGTTACATTCACACAAAGAACAGTGGTTAAAAGGTCAGCATGCCATGTTACTATCCTCAGGATATCTGGGGAGGCACTACATCCTTGTAGAGATTCAGATGTCGAATTTATAGGATGAAAGTCAAGTAGGTTAAGGCTATTGGAAGCTTTAGAGAGGACAGCATTTTCCCCAAAACCCTTAGCTGAATTGGAAAGCTGGCTGGAAAGACAGTTGCTTTTCTTGAAGACCTGAGACTGGGAGAGACTCCAGAGAGAGGTTCCAGACCCTGGGGGACAGGACTCTGGATCTGTGACCCACATTTGTAGATTGCCTAGGTGTATATAGATATAGATACACTGAGACTGTGCATATTGTAATGAGTTGGATTTGCTTCTCTAAGGGCCTGGCTGAGGATGTGATGCTTCAGAGTAAAGTTTAGATGAATTTCTGGAGGGTTGTGAAACAGGAGGGAGAGTCTTGGTTGTCTCAACTTCATGCCTGGGAGGAAAATGTGGGTTTATCATCTTTGGACTTGAGAGGAAAGGGTGAGTGATGCACATAGACTTCTCTTTGTTGGGACCCCAATGATGTCATCACAAACACTGGTACGTTTAAAAAAGTGTGGAGAAGGAAGCGAAGCCAATGGAATTGGAAGGGGAAAAAAGTCACCAAAAATAACATGCCTTTTGGTGAGTATATTGACATAGGAGATAAAACATGTTTAATTGCTTTCTAATTCAGTTTCACCAAGGGTAAGCCATCTTCATTAAAAATTCATAAAGCTAATTATAATTTACTGACCTTGTTGCATTATATTTCTACACTAATCCTATGAACCCCTAAGGACAGAGGATACAATGAGTCTATTGTATAGACTAGGAGATTGAGATTTAGGGAAGATTACGGACTTCAAGACTACGTAACAAATAACGTGGAGGCTGGTTTCAAACCCTGGTCTTTGACTTTGCTCTCTTGGGCCCCCAGCTGCCTCTTCAGTCTGATAATCCAGAAGTGTGGTCCATTAATAATCATTGGCAATCAGTAACACCTCCTATCATACTTCACAGCACAGTATAATAACAACAAAACCCCAGGGCAGAAATCTGTTTTAAAGGATAGAAGTATTGACTTTATTTATTTTTTTTTAAGATTTTATTTATTTATTTGACAGAGAGAGAGAGAAGAGCAGGGGGAGAGGGAGAAACAGGCTCTCTGCAGAGCAGAGAGCCCGATGCGGGACTCGATCCCAGGACTCTGAGATTATGACCTGAGCCGAAGGCAGACGCTTAACCAAGTGAGCCACCCAGGCACCCTAGAAGTATTGACTTTAATACTTTAGCCAAGGCATAATTATAGGAAGTAGTAGGAAAAATGTGGACTGGGCCAGAAAAACCTGTAGGCAAATCCATGATTGCTGTTTCCTTTGATATAGAACATTGGGCAGGTTTATTTAACTTTTTGGAGCCTGAATTTTTCTATCCCTAAATTCAATGAATAAATGTTTATTGAACACCTACTAAAATAACCTGGCAATGTTGTAGGCTTTTGGGATACATCCAGATAAATGCGTAGTTGTCTTGGGATAAACCCAGACAAAAATATCCCTGCCATGCCCTGGTGGATCTTGCATTTGGGAGAGCTGACAATAAGCAAGGAATGTTCCATATAACTGAATTATGGAAGGTGCTCAGTTGCTATTTAGAAAATAAAGACAAGGTGGAATCAGGAGTGTAGGGTGCTTAAAATTTCCAGTTAAGTGGTCAGGCTAGGCCAATTCTTGACAGTACTATCTTGTCAGTTACACGAAAAAAAAAAAAACCACCTTGGAATCATCTCTCTGACTCCCTTTTCTTGTGCCTCATGACAAATTTATTAGGAAATCCATTTGCATTTGCCTTCAGAGTATTTCTAGAATCTGACAGCTGTCCCCATCTTCCACCTACCAGTCTGGTCCAGGTTTCATCTAGTGGAAGGTTAGAAGCACTTAAAAGGGACTAAATTTGAATACTGAGAATTTTTTTTTATGGAACAAGCATTTTCATGTATATAATGTGTTAGGGCCGCTAATGAGTGAGTAAATTAGAACATTTAAACCATGGTTTATAAGAACAACTCACAGTTAAACTAAAGAATAACCCTATTTCTGAGTCTGTTCTAATTTAAAAGATTAAATTTAACATGTATAGTTGCCTGAAGTACAGTTGATTTTTGTTTCCAAGGAAGAGGCAACATAAGCAGGCTAAATAAAGTTGATGAAATACTATTAATAAACCTCAGAGCTTTAAAGCAGAGTAGTCTGTCTTTTCCCCCAGAGAGGAAAAAAATTGGGTATAGTCTATTTCTTGAAAAGTTGGAAAATGCTGATTAGACCATCAATTTTGGTGAATCCTGCCAGTCTCCTTGAAAAATGATTGCGAATGATGTGTTTTTAACTAAAGCTAAATAAGAATTTGGTTTTTTATGTGCTAATGCTGTTTTCCATAAAATAACACCTTAAAATTTTGAAAAAAAAATTGGTGCATCCAAACTTTCAAACGTGATCTTTTTTTTTGCTTTGCTAAAGTAAAATTTTTAAAAAGGCAAAATTATGACTTCTACAAATATAAACACACAATAAAGATTTCATTCAGTGCATAATGAATGAGCAAACTAGTTACGTGTTAAAACTAATCCAAAGAGCATAGCAAAACTAGGTGGTTTTAAGCAAGGTTAAAACAAGATTCCTGGATTAGATCTAAAAGTGGTCAATTTCCAGTGAGGTTTTAAACTATAACCATTGGATTATCTTACTCAGCAGACACACATTATTTGCATCTTTTCCAGACAAAATTCTGTAAGTTAACGTGTAACTTCACTGTTGGGACTTTGAATCAATAAACAGTAAGTCAAACGGAGTATATTTCCTCAGATGACCCTTGGATGCCCTTTGCCCCCATAGGACATTGAAAGGACCTGCCCCCTCACCTTTTTGCCTCATTTCTGGGTTTTGGATACTTTTCATAACAGCTTTTAAAGTCAGTGCAGGGGCGCCTGGATGGCTCAGTCGTTAGGCGTCTGCCTTCAGCTCAGGTCATGATCCCAGGGTCCTGGGATCGAGCCCTGCATTGGGCTCCCTGCTCCGCGGGAAGCCTGTTTCTCCCTCTCCCACTCCCCCTGCTTGTGTTCTCTCTCTCTCTCTCAAATAAATAAATAAAATCTTGAAAAAAAAAAAGTCAGTGCATACACTGGGTGTTATACACAACTAAATGAATCATTGAACATTATATCAAAAACTAAAGATGTACCATACGTTGGCTAATTGAATTTAAATAAAAAAATAAAGGCAGTGCATAAATATAAAAATCTTTTTATGGCTTATTTTGCTTGTGTTTTTTTCTTTTACATGCATTTAGAAACCATTCCAAAACATTACTTTTTTTTCTCCAAAGGAAACCAAGGTGTTCTGTAGCTGAAGAGTTATGTGTGTTTCCTGAGGTTGCAAACTTTTTTGGAATGTTGCTTCACACTCTAGAGGAATGTTAAAAGGATACCTAAGAGTCTTCCTTAAGAAAGTTAATTATGAATGTGGATACTTAATTACTATGTGATAATAAATATGCAATTTTAGTATTGATTATATGTAAATTATGTTAAAAGAAATATGTGAAAGTTATATTTGGGGAAAAGAGAAACAGGTAGCCTGAGACTCTGGGACTGATTTGTGAAGTGGCACCAGATGTTGCTTTCCATCCCATGAAAAAACTGGTGCAGGTGAGTCACAGGTTAGGTGCAGGTTGATGAGAGCATTCTGGATGGGTTCCAGTCATCCCAGAGATGGGGATTTCTTAGGTTATACTTGGAATGATGCCAAGGGAAACTCTTGAGAAAGGCACTAATTTTTCTGGAGCATTAAGCAGTCATTTGCAAGGTGGTTGCTTTAGGCTTTCATTCCCAGCCAGTTTTGTATGGTAGTCAACACATTACATCATACGTCATATCATAAAGCTATAAACTCTCTTTAAGGGAAGAGCGAATGCCAGGTTTTCAAAGATTACGAAAGAGCCAACAGTGTGAGAAGGCCTCCTTTTGCTGTTGGTAGGAATATAAATGGGTATAATCATCTTTAAGGGCAGTTTGGCATATCTGTCAATATCTGTCTAAATACCAGTATTGGGTATGTCCTTTTCATCGAGTTGAAAGAAACCAAAATCTGATTACAGCGATCTAAGGATCAAATGGCAATGCTCATGTAATTCAGAAAGAAAATGAATCTTCTAAATTGATATTGTTATTCTTTTTTATATACAGCTTTAGTCATAAGTTGGCCTTTTGCTTTAAATTTAAAATTTTCTAAACCTTTACTAAAAAACTGAAATTATGGTCATAAGGGATCTGGTCACATTTGTGTGATATGAAAATTCTAGAAATATCATATTGCTATTATGTATTTTTTAATTTGAATGCTTATAAAAAGGATATCCTCTTACTATACATTTTGGTAAGAAAAATGTTTAAGTTGTTTGTTTCCTAACAGGCAAAGCAGTGTATACTGAATGTTTTTCTTACCAACCAGTTTACCCCAAGCAATTCAAAGTTAACAGTGACTAATTAAGATTTATCTAGATACTAAATTTTCTTTCCTGTAGGTTTTCAGTTTTTCCTTAAGCAAGTCTTATCAAAAATAGTTAATGTGAAAATGTTATTCATTTTGTACCATAATGATTCTGAATAAGGGATGTAAGGTACTCTTAGACATAATCAAAATTGCCAAAGCCTGATGATTTTAAAACCTGGAGACTAAAATATTGGGTAGGTGCATATATATTGAGTGTCATAATTTCTAAGACAGTCAAAGATATACATCATATAATCTTCTATGATAAAATTGAAATATAACTTTTGTAACATTGTTTTTTTTAAAATTATTTTCAAGGAAAGAAATTTCCCCAAATTTATAGCAAAAGAAATGGAGAATATGTATATAGAAGAGTTGCGGTCTTCAGTGAATTTGCTAATGGCCAATTTGGAAAGTCTTCCAGTTTCGAAAGGTGGTCCAGAATTTAAATTACAAAAATTAAAACGTTCACAGAATTCTGCATTTTTGGACATAGGCGATGAGAATGAGATTCAGCTGTCAAAGTCCGATGTGGTGCTGTCGTTCACCTTAGAGGTAGGTGACTTTATCCCATGATCGCCTCTGACAGCAGAAATGAAGCTGCAAAATAATTTCTGCTGACCTTCGTGGTAACTTTTTGAATTGAAAGCAGTGTGATATATTTTGAAGAAGTTACATTATTCCTCAATTGCTAGACAATCAGGTTGTGAATGCAAATTAATACAAATTGTTCTTTAAATGTAATAGCAGTTTTAGGACTAAATAATAAAATAATAAGTTTTGAAAAAATTCATCTTTGTGCCAACTAGCCTGGTGTAAGTTTATTGATAAAGTGAGCACTAAAGCACACTTGAGTGGAAATAGGATTTAAACACATAATTGAATTCTCTGTAATTTGGGAATTACTTTCAAGCTTTTGGTTAGCTTTGTTTTTAACCTACCTCACCTATGGTATTTTTCTAGAATCAGATCACACCAGCCAGCTTTGAAACATAATATTGGGTGCATATAGATGATAAGTAGAGAATTCTTCCTTTCCAGGATGTCCAGTTTCATTATAGATACAGTACATAGTATAAAGGACAGGAACAAATGTCATGCATTTAAAATAGTGTTCCCTGAGACTTCAGAGTTTTATGCTTTTTATACAATTCACCGGAAACCAGATATTGATGCAGACTCTTACCACAGCCACCTGTTGATTATTTTTTTTTACATTTTTTTCATTTCTAATCTGTGTATTTGGGCTAATCCATGTATATGTTTATGCATTTATACATGACACAAATATGTATACTTGCTATATCAAGCTTAAATTTATAGCGCTCTCAAAAATTAAAGCTTGTTATTCCTTCCTTGCATTGTTAAATTCTCTCTTTTCTGGTGCCCACTACTGCTATTGAAGTTTCTGGATTGACTGATGGAGTCTTAGGAGGTACCATTTTAAATTTCTTGATACTTCTTTCTTTTGGCTTGCTTAGTTTGTGGCAGAAAAAGCCAATGTGTGCTTTTGTTCTTTATTCCACTTATTCCACCCTAAGATAAATTCAGGCTTGAGGATAAGCCAACTGCCTCTCTTTCTTAACTTCCATGCTAATGATTTCTTTGTAGGTTAATAGATTAAATTTACTATCAGAGTTAGAAATAGGTTTTCTTCTGACTCGAGACTCCATTCTGGGATTACCTAATGATTTTGCCATTACTCTGGGTTTCTTCTCAATCTCTTGCCATTACTGGGTTTCTTCTCAATCTCTTCGGTATCTTAAAGAGATATTTAATGGGAAACTACACAGTATCTTACATGTAGAAGTCTGTTTTCCTACTGACCAAGATATAAAGTGCCAAGGTTTTTTTTTTTTAAGGCTTTGTGCAAAATAAAATTAGTTATAATTTGTAAAGCAGATTATTTTTGTAATGTAGAAACCTACCATGCAGAACTGGAAACTGTTCAAAACACCTTCTCTTTTCTGTATTGTTTAGAAGGTTTTAAACACAATTGTAAATAATTGGCTTTTATGAACTCTTTTCCTGTTTGAAAACAAAATTATCCTCGTGAGTTAGTGTCTGTGTGAAACTATGAATTGTTCTGTACTTTATTGCCAGTATATTAAACAGGGTTGCTCAGTTAACAGTAAAATGGTGTTAGAGAAAATGAGTTAAAACTTCATTTTGCCTGGTCTGAGAAGCTTGCCTATTTATAAAATTGTTTTGATAGTTCTCTATTACTATGTCTATATAAGGCAGATACTTTCCTTCCATAGCATAATAGAGATGTTTTCTATGATACACTTCCAGTATTATAAATAGGAGTTGTGTGTCCAACAACAAAATGAAGTCACATTCAGTGCACACAACATAGTGCTTACCTGTGGATACCTGAGAGAATAGATGAGGTCCCCCTCTATCCCCAGGGCCTCTGACCTCAGCCTGACTAAACTCCATAATTATCCCTGGCCCATTATCCAAGCCTTGCTACTTAGCCTAAGAAAGTTCTGAAAGGCAAACAGTTATTCCAGTTTAAGGGTCTTCCATTTTGTCAGTCAGGCTTAGAATTGGTCCAGTGGGAAAAGTTTTTTCTACGAACTAACGGCTGAGTCTAGAGAATAAGTGCAGATTTGAAAAACTGTTTAAATTTTATCACCTCTTTAAAATTGCTACTGACTGGTCTCTTCTCTCCCCACACCCTGTTCTCTTGCCAACCTGAATTTTTGTCACAGCTCTTACCACCTAATGTATAATTCAGTTATTTTTATTATTCATTATTTGCCTGATTCTACTAAAATGTAAGCTACAGGAAGTTAAGGTCTTGTTTTCCTTGAGGTATCACAAAAGCCTAAAACACTACCTGGCACACAGTTGACTTGATAAATACTGATTGAACTGGGGACTTTGATGGTATCAAAAAGAAGCAGTTAAAAAAAAAGAAAAGAAAAAGGCAGCAGTTAGCCACAACAAGATTACTTTTAGATCGCTTCATTCCTGAAACCTTCAGAGACAATAATAAAGCAAGAGCGAAGCTAACCCACAAAACCGTGAGCCATCCCGTGGTATGTTAAATATTGAGTAAGGGGAAGACAGCCCAGGTTAATCTACGAAGTTGAGTCTGCGTGTTGGAAGATAAATGGTGTCACTGGTATGAGTACAGATGATTTTCACAGTTTTCATTGGTATTAGGTTGGCAGACCCTGTGACGGCTTCTTTATCTGGTAGTATATGGTCCCCAAATACTGCTCAGCTTCATTTTCTCAAACCTGCACATGACTCAGCGCCACATAACTCTCTGGACAGTGCATTATTCAGAAGCATGTTACCAAGCTTTGTATTTTGTACATGACTGCCTTCTTTTTGCCTCTAGAATAATTCTGTATATATTATCTTTATTCTATCAATCACAGAAAGATTGGGGAAATGGGGATGGAATTGAGACTATATTCATTTTCCATGGTTCTCTTACTAAGTTTTGTGGGGAACTGGTCGAAACAGTTACCTGAAATTAGGTCAGTTGATGGTCCACGGAATTTGTGGCTGTCTTTATCATTAAAGATTGAGACCAGTTGCATTTTTTTTTTTATTCCTTTTGGAAATCAGATCTGTAGAATTGTGTTGTTTTATTTATATGTATGGACTCAGAACAGAAGTTACTTCTTTTGAAAGTGGCAGTTCTGCCGAAGAAAATATTCCCGGCACAGATGGGAGTACTGTTTTGTGGAGTGGGAAATGGTTTCACAAGTTGTGTGTTTCAGGAGGTCCTGTTTACAGTAGCTTGTAGGAGAGGTGACAGACATAGTGCTAAGCAGGTGCTTCCTTTCTTCTCTCTTGCGCTCTGTTGAACACACTCGAGAAAGAGGTGCAGGGCAAATAAGCATATTTCCAAATATGAACTAAAAGATTTCTACATTATGTGTACACAATTCTCTTGCTTCCTGTATTTTAAGTGACCTTCCAAAAATTTTATTAAGAAGCCATTTCGGTCATGTTGGTAAGTCCCTGTGGAATCTTTTTGATTGATACAGTTATATAGTTCATTTGTCTCAGCTTCTACTTAGTTTTATTTGTATAAGGATCTAATGAATTTCAAAATGATTAACAACGACGTTGATTTATTAAGAATATATGCCTCCTTTTGCTTACTTTCCATCAACAAGATGAAGTGCTTTGTTCTAACTTCCTTGAATGTCTTACAGCAGCTATAAAAGGTGTTACTGGTCTCTATCAGTTCTTAGTCTGTTTTCTGTTATGCCCTTATTTTTATTCATGTGTTGGTATGAATTTCTGTGTGATAAAATGACAAAAGTCTTGGTTGAGAAAGGAAAATGGTTCTGAGTTTGACCTTTCTTTTTTAGTGATTAGTTTCCCATTATTTTCATGGGGAGAAAAAGGCGTTTATATTTATGAACATAACCCTTCTGTTGTGCTGAAGAGTGAAAGGAAGAATAGTTTTTTTTTAAGATGGTTTCTTTGAGAACTTTTGCCTCAAGATTCATATCACAACTCAGTGAGAAGTGGAATGACTTTAATAATGTATGAAATGATCAATACATGATGTTTTTAGTGGATATTTTGGCAGCTACGTGGCATGAATGCTGTTAATCTTGTTTGTACAAATAAAACATGAGATCAATAAAGACATAAATGTGCATGTTATAAAAATGCCATTGAATATATTTTATGAGCTTCAAGAACTTAGGAAACTTCAGGATGCAAGTTTTGATTGAAAAAAAACTATAGCAAAAATACTCAGTAATATTTATATTTTATGTGTACACCCAGTGAAAATGTTAGGTTACAGTATTTTAAAATCATTAGCCTTTTATATGAACATTAAAAAGCCCACTTGAAAAATATTTGTTTCTCTTTTTTCTAGGAGTTATAGATGTGTAATACAGTATCAGTCTTTCTACCCATTCCCAGTGTGCTGTGTTAAATTAGCACATACCTTTAGTGGAAAAGTCCTTTTTTTCCTTGCCAAGTTAGTAGTAAGATAGTCATCAGCAAGTTGTATTTTCCATACTTCGTAATAAGATATACATTTTCTATAATGAATATTCTTTTATAAATATTAATAGTCCTCTAAAATAAGTGAATATAGAAAGACCTGATGATGTCACATACTGATAACCACAAATTGGGATGATGATGATGTGCACCACTCATAAATAGTATTTCACTTTATGTGGAACGCACCCTGTACTGCTTTTTTAGCACACTCACTGAATTTTCATGGGTAATTCCACTTTACCTCATGCAGACTTGCCATCATGTTTTAAGGATCTGAGTTTATACCTCACTTAACTCAGTCAGGCTTATATTTAGAGATCTTAACCTTACTTTAATAAGCTGCAGGAGATATTTCTTCAATACTAGACTTCCTTAGAATGTTACTTACTATACCTTCCATGAATACAAGTGGATTCTAAAGAAGATAAAATACCATTGGTGTTACCAGATAATTTTATCAGTTGGTCATTCTACTTATAATCAATGCTGCTATCTCTGTGTCTTGTTAAAGGCTACCAACTTGATGTATCATTTAAAATTTTTTTTTTATCTTTAGATTGTCATAATGGAAGTGCAAGGTTTGAAGTCCGTTGCTCCCAATCGAATTGTTTACTGTACAATGGAAGTGGAAGGAGGAGAAAAACTTCAGACAGACCAGGCTGAAGCCTCAAGGCCACAGTAAGCCAGCTGAAAAAAAAAAATTTCCCCTTCCAAAGAAACATGGTTTATTTATTTGCAGCATTGTGTGGTTTTATACTCCAAAAGGGTTCTTGGTTAGCTTTGTTTCAACTGTTGAGAATCATTGTGTGCCTTTCTAGATAAGGATGCTATAATTAGAACTGTAGCAGAATCCCTGTGTAGTACAAACAGAAAATCTAACCTGCAAAGGAGAAGCTAGTTATTTGGCCAGTCGGTGTTTATAAGCCATTTAAAAGGAAAGCATGTGTAATCATGTATTATTTAAAAGGTGGTGCTAGATCCTATTTCAGTTTCTAGACAAAAAAAACTATAACCTAATAGCTTTCCATTTCCGCGTATTACTAATGACTATGTAACACTGATGATGTTGAGGTGGATACAATTTTGCACAGTGTCTTAGAATACTTAGGGAATAGGCTTGAGTTAGAGAACCAATTAATGACAACCGCACAGTAATCAGGAGCTAAAACTGTTCTTTGCTGGCAGTTTTCGGTTTCAAAGTCTGGGAATGAGTTTAATTAAGTTTGGAAGATGTTCTTTTTAACTGATTGAAACTTGGGAAACATCACAGTCTCTGGTAGAAATAACTAGGCTAGGCTGAGGAATTTGAAAATTTCCTGGCTTTCATTTGTATACTGCCCTTAGAAAGATGTTTTTTCCTTCCTCAGGACTTAGGATTTTTGTCTTATCACAGCATGATGATGTGACCTGTTCATTCAGGAAATGTCTGATCAGATCCTGGTTGGCAGTTGTTAGAGGTGAACAAAAACTTTCATTTTCCTTAGGGCAGGCACAAGTGTAAGGTGGGGACACAGATACAAGTGTAATAGGACAGATGTGCACAGAGTATAATGAGATGGAGAAGAAGCAAGTTGCAACTTCTCACCCTGCCTTATAAAAAGTCTTAAAGGTCTATCGCTAACCAGCCTCTCATTACCTCTGGGACCTCACCTAGCCTCTGGTCAGTTACTGGACTTCATGTAACTCCTCAAACATATCATTACACTTGCTTTTCCCTCTGCCTGCCTTATCATTTATCTTTATATGTCTGGATCCTTGGTATTAGACATTTCTCCAAAGAAGACCTACAAATGACTAAGAGACACATGAAAAAATGCTCATCACTCATCATCAGGGAAATACAAATCAAAACCACAATGAGATACCACCCCACACTGGTCAGAATGCTAAAATTAATTCAGAAAACAATAGATGTTGGTGAGGATGCATAAAAAGGGGAACCCTCTAACACTGCTTGTGGGAATGCAAGCTGGTGCAGCCACTCTGAAAACAGTATGGAGGTTCTTCAAAAAGTTTAAAATAGAGCTGTCCTATGACCCAGCAATTGCACCACTAGGTATTTATCCAAAGAATACAAACATAGTGATTTGAAGGGGGACATGCACCCTGATGTTTATAGCAGCAATGTTCACAACTGCCAAAATATGGAAAGAGCCCAGATTTCCATTGGCAGATGAATGGATAAAGATGTGTGTATATATACAATGGAATACTACTCAGCCATCAAAAGAATGAAATCTTGCCATTTGCAATGACGTGGCTGGGACTAGAGTGTATTATACTAAGTGAAATCAGAGAAGGACAAATAGCATATGATTTCACTCATGTGGAATTTAAGAAACAAAACAGATGAACATAGGGGAAAGGAAGGAAAAATAAAAATAAAAACAGAGGCAAACCATAAGAGACTCTTAACTATAGGGAACAAACTGAGGGTTGCTGGAGGGGACATGGGTGGGTGGGACGGCGTAATTGGGTGATGGGTATTAAGGAGGGCACTTGATGTAATGAGCACTGGTTGTTATATGCAACTGATGAATCACTAAACTCTACCTTGAAATAAATAATAACTATGATTTCAGCACAGGTCTTGATCTCGGGGTTGTGAGGTTCAAACTCCTGCATTGGGCTCCATGCTGGGCATGGAGCCTACTTTAAAAAAATCTTAAACCTTACTTGCTGAGAACACCTCTTTTAAATAACCCAATATGAAGCAGATATTCTCTGGCTCATTTTAATCTTTAGACTAATGTGCTTCTTCTCTGTTCACCTTGTATTTCCTCCTTGAGAAGTTTGATCTTCTAGTACCCAGTAGGCTGTCAGAATTTATTCAGTTGCTTGCACTTATTTTTATGACTTAGTCACAGTAAATATTGAAGGGTGTAGTATTTACTCCTGCAGGCAAATAGAGCTGAGTTACAGTGTGACAAGAAAGTGACAATAATGAGAATAAACAACTCTTTAAAAAAAAGATTTTATTTATTTATTTGACAGAGACACAGCGAGAGAGGAACACAAGCAGGGGGAGTGGGAGAGGGAGAAGCAGGCTTCCTGCCAAGCAGGGAGCCCAATGCAGGGCTCAATCCCAGGACCCTGGGATCATGACCTGAGCTGAAGGCAGACGCTTAATGACTGAGCCACCCAGGTGCCCCAAACAACTCTTTTAAAAGATTCTTTAGATCTAGGAGGAGGCTGTGAGATAGAAGGAAATTGACTGGGGCTATTTTTGGCAGGGCATATGGATTCAAGGGAGAGGTTTGTTTTTTGTTTTAAAGGTCAGTTATATTAGTCTGTATTAGTATATTCACAGAGTTGTGCAACCATCAGCAATTCTAGAACATATTCATCACCTCAAAAGAAACACTGTCCCCTGTGTAAGGAAACCCTGTGCATCAACCTCAGATTACCCCCATCCTGACCAACTACTAAGTGACTTTCTGTCTCTATGGATTTGCCTATTCTGGGCATTTCAAATAAATAGAATCATCTAGTATGTGCTCTTTTGTGACTGGTTTCTTTCCCTTAATATAATATTTTCTGCTTCCTCCATCTTCTGGCATGTATCAGAATTTCATTTCTTTTTATGACCAGATCATAGTTTAGTGCATGTAGATACCACATTTTGTTTATCCATTCATTTAGATTGAGGACACTTGGGTTGTTTCCACCTTGTGGCTACTGTGAATGCTGTAACTAAAGTTGTACTAATATCTGTGTGAGTCCTTGTTTTCAGTTGTTTTAGGTATATACGTATGAGTGGAATCGCTGGACCATATAATAATTGCATGTTTAGATTTTTGAGGATCTACTGACCTGCTTCCCACAGTGATAGCACCATTTTATTTTCCCACTGACAATGCATGAGAGTTTCAGTTTCTTCACATTGCACCAATACTTATTATTTGCCCTATGCACAGTCATTCTGGCAGGGGTGACGTGATACCTCATTGTGATTTGATTTGCACTTCACTCGTGACTAATCATGTTGAGCATATTTTCATATGTTGTATTAGCTATTTGTATATCTCTTTAGAGAATGTCTATTTAAGTCTTTTGCTCCTTTTTAATTGAGTTGTCTTTTAAGTTGTAAGAGCCATTTGTATATTCTAGATGTTAGATTCTTATATATGATTTGCAAATGTTTTCTCCCATTGTGTAGATTATCTTTTTATTTTCTTGATATTGTCTTCTGATATTCAATTTATCTATTTCGTTGTTGTTGCTTATGCTTTTGGAGCTGTGTCTAAGAATCTAGTGCTCAATCCAGGGTCACAAAAATTTAGCCCCATGTTTTCTCCTAAGACTTTCATGTTTTACCTCTTACATTTAGATCATTAATCCATTTTAAAGATCTATTTATTTTGAGAAAGAGCATGCACGTGCATGTGCACAAGCAGGGAGAGGGGCAGAGAAAGAGGGAGAGAGAGAATCTCAAGCAGACTCCACACTGAGTGTGGAACCCCACGAGATCATGACCTGAGCAGAAACTAAGAGTCGGCTGCATAAGCTGCTAAGCCACCCAGGTGCACTCATTAATCCACTTTTAAGTTGATTTTTATTTGTGGTAGGATGTAAGGGTTCGACTTCCTTTATTTGCATGTAACAATTCAGTTGTCCAGTTCTTAAGTTGAAGAAGCTATTCCTTTCACATTAAATATTCTTGGTACTCTTTTGAAAATCAATTTACCATAGTTATATGGGTTTGTTTCTGGACTCTTGAGTTGTATTACATTGATGCCCTTAGCTAGTACCACATTATTTAGCTTACCATTGCCTTGTATGAAGTGGGTTTTATTTTTAATTTTTTTGGCCTTCTGTGACGTTTTAAAATCACGAGTATGTGTCTTCCAGCTATGTTCTTTTTCAATATTATTTTGACTATTCTGAATGTCTGTATGACCTTTAGGATAAATTTGCCAGTTTCTACAAAGGTTTTGCAAATATCTCTAGCTGGGATTCTCATAGCAATTGTACTGAATCTGATTAATTTGGAGAGTACTGCCATCTTAATTAACAATGTTTTCTTCCTATTCATGAACGTAGAGTGTCTTTTTAGTTATTTAGACCTTTGTTTCTTTTAATAATAGTTTGTAGTTTTCAAAGTGTAAGTTTTGCACTTTGGTTAAATTTATCCCCAGTATTTTATTGTTTTCTTAAGTTATTTTGGATTATTTATTGTAAGTATATAAAAATAATTTTTAAAATATTGATCTTGCATGCTGCACCCTTGCTGAACTTGTTAATTCTAATGGTTGTTTTTTTATTAGATTTCTTAGATTTCTTTTTATATAAGATCATGTCATCTGCAAGTAGTCATGATTGTATTTCTTTCTGCCTGATCTGGATGCCATTGATTGATTGATTGATTGATTGCCTAATTGCCCTGACCAGTTCCTCCACTGCAGTGTTGGGTAGAAGTGTCAGGAGTAGACATCCTTGCATTCTTCTTGATTTTAGTAGGAAAGCATGTATTTTTCATGATTGAGTATAATGCTAGCTCTGAATTTTTTATAGTTGCCTGTTACCAATTTGAGGAAGTTCCTTTTCATAGCTTTGTTAGTGTTTTCATCATGAAAAGGTGTTGGATTTTGTCAAATGCTTTCTCTACCTCTGTTGAGATGATCAAATGGGTTTTGCTTTTATCCTATTGAAGGTGCATTACATTATTTAATTTTTAG